GAGGTGAAGGCTCATATTCAGCAGGCTGTCCTGGTGACCGACTGCTCTGCCTGCAGGTCACAGGAGGCAGGTCCCACTGGGGACTGGTTTTCACTGTGGTTTGGCTTGACGCTGCTGCTGGGGACACCCCTGGAAGCTGCATCTGGCCTGGGAAGAGGTGTGCAGGGAGATGCAAATTTCCTGACAGAAACATGTGTGCTGCAGCATCCCACTGTGTTGTAACCACTCCTGACTCCCTCCCTCTCTCTCTTTCCACAGTCCATTGATCCAGGGCAGCAGTTCACCTGGGAGAATTCCAACCTAGAAGTGAATAAACCAAAAAACCGCTATGCAAATGTGATTGCCTATGACCACTCACGTGTCATCCTGACCTCCATCGATGGTAAGAGTGACTGCAAAGTGGGCAGCCCAGCAGATGGCTGACTAGCAGGGAACCATATTTTCCTGTTCTCAGTCAAGCAGGGACAAGTAGCAAGAAACATATCCAGCATCAGCGTGAGCAAATGCCTGTTCTTGCTGGCAAGAGGAGGGGCTTCTGCCGACCTGCACAGGCTTTCCCACTGTCCTCAGAGCAGAATGCCCTGTGTGACTCTGTCTTGCCACTGCTGGTGCCAGCAGACATGTCTGTCCGAGCAGCCACCCTTCTCACTGCTGGCCCCACTGCATGACTTTGGCTACCTTCCATGGCACATGGTGGGACAAGGCACTGTTAGCCCTACTACCCTCTGTCCAAACACTACTGCAGAGCTGGTGTCTTCCTCTGGGACTTGTCAGTGTCTGCTCCAATGTAAAAGCCCAGAGCTGACAGGATGAGGCCCTTGCCATGGGACATCAGGCTCTACACATCCCTGTGCTCTATGAGAGATGCATCAGGCCCTGTTGTTCTTAGCACTGACCCCCATGAGTCCAAGAACCAGCCCTACATCTCTGTAGCCTGGGCCATTACGTGCCTTAAGTGCCTGCTTTTCAGTCCCCTTGCACACAGAGGAGCTGGAGCCCGGGTACCAAAGCACAGGCTCTCACCCATTCCCACTGTTTTATAAATCAGCACCCAGCGCTGCACACCAGAACTGAGCCCTCTGATGGGGGATGAGAAAGCTGCAGCTAATTCAATACATCCCTGCTTGGGGAAGAGAATGGGGCCTGGCTTTGTGTACGGGTGGCCCTGCAGTCACTAGTGTCCTTTTCTTGGGATGGCAGAATCTTTTCTCATGCTAACACACTGCGGGAGGAGGAGGGAAGCAAGGCTTGTTCAGCAGCAGCTATATGAAGACCTGGCATGTCTGATCATGGGCAAACCCTATTAGGCAGCTGTGGGGTGAGCATATGGGGGATTCCCTGTTTCCAAGCCTGACTCAGTTGCTGTAAGTAGAGTGTGTGTCTTCCTGGGAGCCGTTCCTGAAGCACCCTGCCAGGTCCCCACCACCCATGCCAAGGGAGCCAGGTGCTGCACTCCAGCCAGTGCTGCTCCCCCAGAGCAGCCAGCACTTTTTTTCTGCTGGGACCTCTAGAAAATTCTGCAGGACAAAAGGGTGAGGGGGAGATGCCCAGCTCCATTTCCTTCCTCTTATGAAATGCAGATGTGCTCTCATTAGGAAACAAGGAGATTCCTGCTTTTTTTCCATGTGCCTGGGCAGCCCATGCTGAGAAGGGTTTGGAAATACAGCCCCAAGCCTCTGCTTTTCAAATTTATTTTAGTAACTGTGTTTGCATTTAAAAGGCCTTTACAAGAAGGTCCTTTCCTTAAAGTGGTGAAGGCAAAGTGGGAGCTGGAGCAACCTCTGCCAGCAGGCAGCAGAGGGGAGTCTTACACTGAGGAGGGTTTCATTGGTGGTGGGAGGAAGGTCTCTGCCTCCTTTGAGGTACTTGTCCCTGCAGGAAGGATGGATGGGAGGACAGCCCTGCCTGACATCTCTGCTAACAGAGACAAGCTAATGAAGCAGCCTCATTTTAAAAGGTGCTGTAGGACCATAGCAAATAGCTGTTGAATTTAAGACAATTATTTCAATCAGTTGCTTGAGGCCAAACGAGTGCCTTAATATTCCTGTCTGAATTTCCTTTTGTGTGCGGGTGGCAGCTGTCTCTCTGCTTCGGTGCTGCCTGCTTGTTGCATTAATGTGGGAGTTACAAAGGGTTCTCCTTTGTTCAAGCACCATCTCTGTCCTTTACAGGTTCCCCAGGAAAGATTCTGGCATCACCCTGAAAAGGAGACTTGTCAAAAGCCTTGTGAACATGCCTCTTGCCCTGCCTGCAGGGCCCAGGAGAGCAATAGGTGCAGGGTGGTGGGCTGCCCCTGGAGTAACACTTCACCCTCTGTCTCTGCAGGGGTCCCAGGCAGTGATTACATCAATGCCAATTACATCGATGGGTATCGGAAGCAGAATGCCTACATCGCCACGCAGGGGCCTCTGCCAGAAACCCTCAGCGACTTCTGGAGGATGGTGTGGGAACAGAGAACAGCAACCATAGTCATGATGACCAGGCTGGAGGAGAAATCCAGGGTACGGTGTGCGCTTCCTCTTTTCTGGAGCTGGTTGGGGGACAGGAGAGAGGGATGGGAACACATCACAGCGTAAAGGCATCCAGGGAGAGGCAAGGCCAGCGATTTGGCTCATTGCTGCAGGCACCATTGCAACAAGTGCCTTGTAAGCATATCCCTGTGGGGCAAAAGGGCAGCAAAGCCTCCTGTCACTGTGCTGCTCATCAACCCCTGTCTTGCTCACATGTCTGCATGCACACCCACCCTTTGCCTGCTCACATTGCTCACGGCAAAGGGAAAAAAGAAAGCTCTGGGATGGGGACTGTTGGCAGTCCCTGAATTCTTGAGAGCTGTGTCCCAAAAGCTGAGAAGCTGCAATGGGTAAATGGCATCAGCAGCATCCTGCAGCCGTACAGGGTCCTGGTGTCTCTGGAGATGTAAGGGAGTGGCTGGCAGGATCTCATTGCAGTAACAAGACTAATTTGTGCCATGTCCAATGACAACATATATAAACGATTGGCTCATACTGTCAAGATTAGATATTCTGATGTAATAAATGCAAAGCTGCCTGAAAACCATGGGGAAGGCACAAGGTGGAGAGGAAGGAGCAGGAGCCCTTGCCGTAGGTGATGTTTATGGTAGCTGGTGACAGAGGTTCTTACTCAGCCCCTGAAGCAGGAATTCCTGAGTTGTGACCGAAGTGCTCCTGTGCCCAGGTGCACCTGTCAGGCAAAGCTTCTGCCTCTCATGATTCTGTTTGTTCCTAAAAGTAAAATTTTAGCAGTGAGCATTTGTACTTGCAGAATATTTTAGTGTTGCCATGCCAACAGCAGGAGAAGGGGCTGTGCACTCAAGCTGTGAAGCGCTGGTTATTTTTAGCCCAATAAGCTCGTTCTTGAGAAGCAGAAACTGTCAAGTTTGGGTTCAGTTAAAACTTTTGCTCGCATGCTCTCCCTTCATTTCAAAGCTTTAGCACCAAAATGCTTGCAGGGGTGTCCTAGCCCACACTAGCTGGGAGGAAGCAGCTGGAATAATTGATCACCATGGCAAAACAGATCAGCTTTTCCTGCATGTACAAAAATAATCTTTGTTCATGGGCTTTCCCGGCTCTACAAATGCCCTATAGCCTGCAGGGAAAAATAGTATTCCTTGGAGATGAGCTGCCTTGAGATCCAAACCCAGCTTTGCACTGTGATTTTTGATACACAGCCCTGTCCATTCTGTCCAGTGGCCACCATCACCCACCACAGCCCAAACAAGGAGATAAATTAACTTGACCCATCGGGCAGCTCAGGGCTTGGCATGTGGGCTAAGCAAGATCAGAAACTGCTGATCAACCGTTTTGTGCATCTGGGGGTTATCTGGGGACATTTTTGTGCCTTCACATTTCAGTGATGAAGCATATATTTGAAGTATGTGGAAAAGCCCTTTTAGGTTGCCAAGCAAATCCATGCCCAGAGTCCTGATTCACTTAACTTCTGGGCTGCTTCCCTGGATGTGTTTGATGTAGCAAAGTGCTTCAGGGCACTTGCTCACGGGAGAGCCCTGGTAGGGAGCTGGGATGTGGATTTGCAGGTTATTTTCTCTGGGGTTTTTTGTTGGCTTCTCCAACATGTTCCAAGGCAGGACGGCTTTCAGCAATCTTCCTGCTCTACTTTTCCTCATGTTCCTTTGGTGATGGCAGAGCTCAGTCAGGACCACACCTTTCTGGGACCCAGGAAGATCCTCATCGCTGCCCATTGCTCCCAACTTTCAGCATGAGTCACTGTTTTACAGTGTTTTACTTCAGAGCCTTCAAACCTCATCTGATGCAACCCCTTGGGTTCCTGTAGCATTGCTGCCTGGTGGTGTTCACACAGCTGTGGGACAGCACTGCTCCAGGCAGTCACATAGGGTCACAGACTTAACCATGGATGTTCTTGCTTGGAAGCCCCCTTGCCCAGAGGCTTTGGTGCAGGCACAAAACTATCTATAGGACTTTACAGCTGTGGAGCCTGGGGTGGGCAGTAGGACCTCATGGCAAGATGCCCATTGCAGAGCAGGCTCTGCCACCTTCCCAAGCAAGCTCCCCAAGTCCCCTCGGCACTGCTGTGTGTAGATAAGCTGACCAGGACCAGCAGCAGCTTTGCATCCCTGTAGGGGTGACACAGCTTTAAAGGGCTCGTGAGCTGCAGGGAGAAAAAAATCTTTAAAGAGCATCAGCTTTTATGGTCCGCAATTTCAGCTGGCTTGATGGTCCAAATCATCTTCCCTTTTTCATGTTTTCACAAAGCAAGAGGCACATAAAGGATAGAAATTGCTAGATTGTGCCATTTAGCTGCCTTCAAAGCTTTACAATCAGTTTCAGAATCATTTGGTGGCAGTTCAGAAACACACATTGTAGATTAGTTTTCCTGAAGCTGTGAGCATGGCGTGTCCCAGCTGGGGTGTGTTGCACAAGAGAGGAATTAAAGCAGGGTTTCTCCTGTCCTGGGCTATCCCCAAGAGCCTGGCAGAGCAAGGTCTCCCAGAGCAGAGCTGTGGCTTCTTCTGTCCCAGCCCAGAGCATCGAGCAGCCATCCCTGGGGTGTGATCTCTCCAGGCACTTCATGTCCCCAGGAGGGGTGCAAAGAGGCTGGTACTCAGGGGTTCTGGGAAAGAGGGGCTTGGCAGCCACATCCCACTCCAGCCCTCTCCCTGACAGTGATGCCATCTGGAACTTGTGAACTGGGCTGGGAGCGGAGCACAGCTCTTGAGAAGAGGTGCCCGGTTGCTCTTGGGCACAGGGCATCGGAGGGGAGGGACAGGAACCACTCAGCAAAGCTTCAGTTAATGCCTGTTGAGGACATTAGTGTGCTTCTTAAGTTAATGAGGAGCAATCACTGCCAGAAGAAAACATCTCTTATCTGCTTTAGTGCCACAGTGCATCGGCTTCAGCATAAAATTTACAGAGCTTGAAAGTGGGGCATAAACATTATGGGTAAATTTGGCAGAAAATGTGACTGACTGTTATCTGGTCATGAATAAATAATTTTCAATTACCAGCCCAGGCGTTGCTATTATCCCACACAGGGAACTCCTCTGAAGTTTGTTTTGTGCTTGAGCACACACAGCCCTGTAGCATGTGGGTGGCAGGAGGGGGACCCTAAGGAGAGGGGCCACAGGCATGGGGATATGTTGTGCTGCTCCTCTGCAAACCACACCAAGGATGACAGAGCAAGTGGCTGTCCCCAGCATTTGGGGACCCCATTAGAGAGGGGTCACATCATCCCTGAGCCAGGTGAGATAATCTCAGGTGGCCAGGAATGCAGCTGCAGCTGCTGCCCTCCTGTGAGGATGGGATCAGTTTAGCTGTGAAATAAGGTTTGTGACCTCCAAGTTGTTCTCTCTGCAGCTACGCAGCATAAAATAGCAGGCCACTCTGTGCCTAGCAAGGAAGAGAAATATTCTGAGATGTGTGCAGGGCCTGCCACACTGCAAGCACAGATCCAAGGCAGCACAACAGCCTGAAGGGCAGGAGACCCTGAGCCGGAGGCAGCAGAGCTGTTCTGGGCATGTGGGCACCCACAGTACCCCATAAGGCAGCTTTGCTCCAGGCACTTCTGCCAAGACAGGTATTCCTTAGACAGGACCCCAAAAAAAGCAAGGAGAGGTACATCACTCTGATCCAGACTACTGTACTCCAGCAGCCAGCATGCGGGATGAGGGCTCTTAGCTCTCACAAACCCCACCTTGCTTAAAGTGCCTTCAATTAAAAGGCAGAACTTCATTGATTTCTAATTAAGCCTGTTGTTTCCCTTCCCACACACTCCCCTGTAAACACACTCGGCTAATAATTAAGTTTACTATTCCTTGACAAGCACAGATGATCTTCCATTCACTCCTCTCTCCTAGGGCAGGAAACCATTTTCAGTGCAGTGCACATGGGTGGGAATGAAGTCTTCCTTCTGTCAGCCAGGCACCACAGCTCTGCAGGGCAGGGGTGGTGGGTGCCAGATGAAATAGGGATGTTCAGGGTGCCAAATTAAATAGAGAGCTCAGGGCTGGAGAGAACAAAACTGGAGGAGTAGTTTGCAAACACTGAGCTGTGAATAGAAGGAGGAGGAGGGCATCGGCAGGTGAGCAGGGAGGGATGCACAGGGAGATGAAGGGAGCAGAGGGTTGGGGCCCTGGGGATGTGTTAAGGCTCTCTGCCAAGTGGGCTGCAGCAGACCAATAGCTCAAAGTGTTCTGGCTGGAGGCTTGGGAGGGAAAGATAAAGGATGCTGCAAGGCAAGGGGTCCCTGGAGAGCAGTGGTGTTTTCATGATGGGACAGTGCTGTCTGCACAGAGGGGTTGAAGGGATGGTTTGGCCACAGTCTGTGTGTTCTCACGGAGGGAGTACAGGTTGTGTCTCTGTCTGAGCTGGCATCTGTGCCTTACTGTGGAGCAGGAAATCTGTGTGTTTGGGACCTCTCACATAATGACTCCTTTGTGCCTTTACCCTTTTTGAAGGGCAGAGCCCTGTTCCTCACCCCAAATGCCCCAGCCAGCAGCCAAGCACTCATCCTTTCTCCTTTCCTCCCCACAGGTAAAGTGTGACCAGTACTGGCCAAGCCGAGGTACAGAAACCTACGGGATGATCCAGGTGACTCTGCTGGACACAGTCGAGTTGGCAACCTACACCGTCCGCACCTTTGCACTGTACAAGGTATGGCACTGGCTGGGCTGGTCCTGCCCCAGGGAATGCAGAGCTGCTCCCCGATGCTGCAGGGCCCTCAGACAGAGGCTGCCAGCTGTGCCTGACTTGGCAAAGCATGTGGCTAGTCCACACATGGACATTTTCTCAAAGCTGGGCTGCAGTGGGAGACCTGCTGCAGGTTAAGCATCTGGCCACCACTGAATTTTGGCCAGGACATCTGATGTTCTCCTGTATGTATTCAGGATGGGCCCCAGAGCAGGGGCTGTATTTGCCTCTGGCAAGTGTACATGTAACAGCTGTCCTCCCGTTAGAGGGACTACAGGGGAAGCAGCAAATTTTTAGCACTCCTGTCACTAGTAATGCAAATGGAGGGACCCTGCTCTCCTGTGCTCTCTGCACCTCATTAGTGTTTGGAAATCCCTGGGGGCAGTGCTAGTGCTAGCAGCAGTGTGTCGCAGCAACGCACACAGGCTTTTCAACAGGCTGCCTCTGCATGACTGAGTCTGGGCCGGCAGAGAGCACAGCAGCTGCAGTGGGGACACACACCCTGGGAAGGCATCTTGCCCGAAGCAGTCACCCAGCCAGTCCTACCACATTGCTGCATAGGTCACTCAGCCTGGAGCACTGGCAGTCTAGCTTATGGCTGTCCCAGAGGAACCCAGGATACAAAGGAGCAGGGAGGGATCTGGCTGCTGTGGCCCTTCCATGCCCAGTTGCCGTTTTTCCCTGGGCGTGCAGTGAGCATGGAGGTAGTGACCCCATGCTGTGCAGAAAGGAGTTTTTCACCTTCCCTTCAGTCTGGTGCACACTCGCAGAGCTGCTCTGCTCTCTGCATCAGCTGGCTTTCCACAGAGCATCTATGTGTACAGAAGCCTTGCAAGAAGCCTACATTTTGCCTCCAAATTTTCAGTGGCAAAATCACAGTACATGTGTTACCAGGCACAGCATTATATGCCTGTTGCTACTCAGCCAGCTGAATACCTTGTTACCCTTTCAGTGGGTTCCTGTCCTAGTATGAGACTGTTCTCATGTGAAACAGCTCCTCTTTATCTTCAACAGAATGGCTCCAGTGAGAAGAGAGAGCTTCGACAGTTCCAGTTCATGGCTTGGCCTGATCATGGGGTACCGGAGTACCCCACTCCCATCCTGGCTTTCCTGCGGCGGGTCAAGGCCTGTAACCCACCAGATGCTGGGCCCATGGTTGTCCATTGCAGGTAGGACTGTGTGTTTGCAAAGCTGCAACTGGGCACGTACATTCTGGCTGCAGGGGCTTAACCTATCCAGCTAAAAGTGGAGTCTCTGCTTCCTCAGGGAAGGTTTCATAGTAGCATAACCCACACTGCATGCATGCTTGGTCTGGGAATGGGATAGAACCAGCAGTGGTAATGCAGTGGTGACATTTGTATTGCTACTGCTCTGTCAGATTCAACAGCACCGCTGCATGGTGAGCCTCAGAAAACACTTTCTCCTGCAGAACTGCAAGTACCATTTAGAAGTGAAGTGATCTGTGCCCAGCTTAGGTGGGTGGCACCTTTCAGAGGCGCATCACGGACTGACACGCATGCAATGACCTCTACAAACATTCATACATAGTATTTGCAGCAGAACTCTTTTGCAGGGTAGAAAGGCAGCTCTTTAAGCAAAACAATAGTCGACTCAGGCTCAGCATCTTATCCAGGCAAGATTTATCTATACCAGCCGAGTGGGGACCATTACTAAACAAACCACTCCATCATTGCAGTTCCAGCATACGCCTTACCAGCAGTGTTTAATGCTCTGCTTTCATGCTCTGTTTCAGATGGGAGTAGGGTATAATTAACACACAAACAAGCTGTATTAAAGCCCTGTTAAGGATCTGACTTGCACCATAAATGAGGAAATGTCTAGCTCCTTATCTCTGCCTGTGTTTACATGTCACAACAGCATGTCTGTTGTTTTCAGGGTGCTCTCAGGGTGAGTAGTTTGGGGATTGCTACTGCCCTTCCAACAGATGTGGAGAGGCATCAGGTTCTTGAGCAAAGGGCTCTGCACAGACGTGTGTGATCTCACCTTTCTCCTTTCCCCTCCCAGGCTAGCTGTCCTCATTTTATGGGTTAGAAAACAATGACTCGGGTTAAGGAACAAGCAGGCTTGAAATATTGGGCTTCATTGGTGCTGGTGCCCAGCCTAGACTTATGGTCCTCTGACTTTTTGCACACGTATGCTGTCTCTCTCCTGCCTGTTAAACACATTTCACACATTCCCTTGTGGAGGTGCTGCCAGTCACCACAGGGACCAGCAGAGTGACATCAGTCCTTTCTGTTCCATCACTGAAAGCAGGACAGCAGAAGGGCTGAGTAGCCTTCCACATTCTCCAGTGCCTCTCCCTTGCTTATCCTGTCACCTGTTTTTGGGGGCTCAGCTCACTATCCCCCAGCGTGAGGAGCAGCCTTTATTCCTCTTTTGTGCATTCGAGGCCTGGGCACTCTCTTAAGCAAGAGCAGAGCTTGCGTGGCATATGTAGGAGACAGTGTCACCTCAGGCCACGTGCTTTGTTCCTGCAGTGCTGGCGTGGGCCGAACTGGTTGCTTCATTGTCATTGATGCCATGCTGGAGAGGATGAAGCATGAGAAGACCGTGGACATCTATGGCCACGTGACATGCATGCGCTCTCAGCGTAACTACATGGTGCAGACAGAGGACCAGTACATCTTCATCCACGAGGCCTTGCTGGAGGCAGCCACATGTGGCAATACAGAGGTGCCTGCACGCAACCTCTTTGCTCACATCCAGAAGCTGACCCAGGTGCCACCAGGAGAAAGCGTTACTGCAATGGAGCTGGAATTCAAGGTTGGTGGCAGAGCCCCAGCACCCCCATTTCCTATGCCCCTGTCTCTCCCCACACAGCACCACTGGTCCACTCCTGCAGAGACTGGGAGAGGAGAGCTGTGGGTCATCACAGACAGCTGGATTTTTTTGTGTTTCTAAACCAGGTAGTCACAGTGTTTTAAAATACCTTTGAATTGTGAAGCTTGTGTAGGCCACGGTCCCCTCTGGATTGGCAGCTTCTGGGGAAGATATAAAAGGCAGATGGATGTGCAGTTCTCAGCAGCACGTTCTGCTCTAGCTTCACTGTGCTGCGGGAGCTGCATCTGAAATCAGATGCAGATCATGTTAGTGATAATTGATGTTACTGTGAACAACTTGTCTGGAAACGGCTCCAGTTTAAATATGTGAGACGTTTATAGTCTTGTTTCTTCAGTGCTGAGCTCTGTTATCTTTTAACTGCCTCAACACCAAGCCTCAGTGTCTGGAATTGGTGAAGGCACTGTTTTAGGACACACTGTTTTTAAGGAGCCAAGCCCACATTTTGCTATTTGTAGCTGTGAATGCAAACTGCAGATATTTATTACAGCCTTGGAGAAGGAAGTGAGCTCTGGAAGCACCCATATTCTCAGATGAGGTGCATTACTCCAGTGCACTCATGCAGGGGGACATAGCTCATGCAGGGAGGCAGCAGACCATGCAGGCAGTGAAATGAACTGCAGCAATACATCTTCACCCTGGGGATTCCCTCCTGGTGACAAAGGAGCAGGAGAGGCAAAATACTGATATTCTGTGTAAACTGGGAATAGCAGAGCAGCTCTGTCCTGTTGTTACCAGAGCTACTGGTGTCCTGGGCTTGAGATAGTAGAACATGCTGCATTAGTATCTCATAGTGGCACGTGGCCTGAGAAACCCCTCGAGAACCACAAAATTAGGCTCAACTCTATCAACTTTGTTGTAATACAGACAAAAATTTGCTGTTTCTCCAAGGTTCTCTTTAGAACAGTAATAAAAGTTGCCCCTCTCTGCCTTGGCAGATTCCACTGCATGGGAACCCCTGCAGAGCAGGATATGGGAGGCCCTCACATGGCTGCATCACTCCCTAAAGAGCAACCCTGTCCTTCTGCAGGGAGGCTTTGCCTAGGACCAGCTGTCACAGGCTCTGGAGATGCTGGAGAGAGTCTTTTGGGAAAGAAAAAAAAAATAAAAATGGAAGGACTTCTGTTTGAATGTCGCTGCCAGCAGATCCAAGTTACACATATACTGTTACTCCAGTTTACAGGGCTCGAAGACAACCATAAACTGTCTCACAGTAACCCGAAATAGATTGTCTTTACCTAAAACTGTCACAATTCTCATATTTTTCTTGGTTTCTTCTGGGGTGAGAAGTAAATAGCAAGACACTGTTGGAAGATGGAAAGCTTTCCTTCCCTGACACCACCAGGCGGGTGTCCCTGGTTCAGTGAGGTACAAGGCTTCATGTCGTGGCCCTTTATGGGTCAGATTGCTGCTGTGGGCCTCCACTCTACTGTGTGTGGCTCTGAGACTCTGCCAGCAGGTCAGTGCACATGGCTCCCCTGCTGTCACCTACAGCCTAGCACCAAAAGCCAGTAGTGGGGCCCGGCCGTGCTTCGGTGTGCAATGCCAGGGCAGAGGGTCACTCAGCCAGAGGAGAGAGCACGGCTGTTTGTCCAGAGGGATTCCTGCCTACCACAGTCCCAATTTTGACCCCAGACTTTTGCATCCCCAGCACAGGTCTGACATGTCTCCTCCTCTTTCAGCTGCTGGCCAACTCAAAAGCACATACCTCACGTTTCATCAGTGCCAACCTCCCATGCAACAAATTCAAGAACCGCCTCGTGAACATCATGCCATACGAGCTGACCAGAGTCTGTCTGCAGCCCATCCGGGGTGTTGAGGGCTCCGATTACATCAATGCCAGCTTCATAGATGGGTACAGGTAAGGCCCACCTTAGGTGCCTGGCCCAGCTCATCCTGCCTGCTTGGGAACCTAGGCAAAGCTGCCTTCTCCTCTTTCCCAAGCACTGGTCCGGGTTGCCTAGAGGTGACCTGGTGATCATTTAGTTGCATTTTGTCTATTTCCGTCTTCTCAGACACTCCAGTGCATAGTTAGAATTTGTGAAAACTGGTAGTGAGAGCTGCCAGGTTGTTTGTATTGCTGTAGGCAGAGGCCCACATGGCTGGGGTGGGAGGCTGTGCTGGCTCCTGCAGAGGTTTATAGGAGCTTCTTGTAGGCATCCCTTGCCATGTGTTTTATATATGCAGCATCTAACACAAACCTGTCCCCTCTCCTTAGCTGTTGCAACCAGAGGTAGAAGTGTGCTTGCCCTGCCTGGCTGATCCAGACAGCGGGCCAAGGCTCGTGGCCTCATGTCTTGATTTGGGGGCAGTCTGTGGATCCTTAGGCAGGATCTGGTACTGGACACTATGAGCCAACCACTGGCTTTGCTCCCCAGAATACCTTTCAGAAAACACAAATTAAGATCTAGTGGGGGCAATAAAACTTACGGTTTCTGCATCTTAACTGCTGGCATCGCATTCTCAGATGCAAAGTGCCAGGAGAGGAGAATGCAGGGAAGTAGCCCAGTGACTACATTTCCTTCCCAGCCAATCCCTGGACAATAATCCAGACCAAATCCCAACAGCGCACATACAGGGCTTGTTCCTGTCATCTCTCTGTGTGCCATCACAGTAGCGTCACCCCGTGGAGGAGTAGGGGATACAACGATGGATGTGGCACAATGCCCCTCCAGCCTGGGCCTACCCAAACACTTCTTAAGGGCTGGTCACCTCCCAGGAGCAACAGTCACTGCCAAAGGGAATGGATGTTGGTGCAGCCAGGCCAGTGGCTCTGTGCCTCTGTCCCTGCTCCAGCGCTGAGCCCAGGAAGGGTTCCCAGGAGGAAGGGCTAAAAGGAGGCAAGAGTGGGCAGGAAGCAGAAGAGCACCCCTGGGAGCATCCCAAACAGCAAAACTGCAGCAAGCCAGGCTCTCTCAGGGTGGGACAGTAACAAGGAAATATAAAGGGGCTGGAGAAAAGCTGTCAGGTAGCAGCCTCTGCTCCCTCCTGCCTATGTGGCTCTAAGCCATCCAACACCATGTCATTAAAGTGACCACCTGCCTGTGTGCCCACCCCAGCAGGCCAGTGCCTGGCAGGCAGGCTGCAGCTGCAGTGCCCTGCTCCAGAGCTGATTAAGAGCAACGCTGCTTTTGCCCCTTGGTGATGCTGCAGAGGGAGGGCTGCCAGCATGGCAGGTGGTACCATTTCATGTGCTACCTGCCCCATTTCTGAAGAGTGCTGTTACCCCTTCCCATCCTTTCAACCAAGCAATTTTCTCAGTATATCTAGAGAGATCAGTTGGCCCACGGTCCTGCAGACATCGGTGATGCTACATCTTTATTAGCTCTCTTGTTTAATTCTGCACCCCCACTCCCTGTTTCTTATGATGTCTTATAAATCCACCTTGAGCCAGCCCCTGTCTTCATCCTGCACATTCCAGCTGTCCTGCAGCACGTTCGTTAATTTTCAGCACCAGGAGGGGAGGATGCCACCCCGCATCCGACAGGCTCCAGCGCCCCGCAGTGGTGAGCCGGGCTGTGTCTGCACCACCGTGTGGCGCCGGACCCGTCTCTCACAGGTGACCACTGGTGTGCCAGGCTGGGCCCTGGCCGAGCCAAAGAACCCACATGCCAAGGGTGCTTTCTTCAGGGTGTGTGCCAGGCTGGAGCAGGTCCAGCTCTGTTTTCACACAGGACTTTTTGAGAGAAGCTCTGATTCTCACTGGAAGCAAGGACTATTTTGGAAGCTTCAGAAAAGCTGACAAAATGGTATTGGTGGTTTCCACGCTGCCCCAGCTGGGGTGTGTGATCCAGGTGACCTGATTCAGTTGCTCTGTGTCTTCCCATGTAATGTGAGGGACGGTAGGTGCTGCAGAAAGTAAAAGTGCAGGAACCTGGGGGTACTCCTGGGATGGTGCCCAAGCACAGCATCTCCTGCCGGCCCAGGTGAGTGCTGGCAGCCTGCTCACGTGGGCCTGGGTGCTGAGAGGGTTCTCAGTACTGCAGCACTAGGGACAAGCAGCAGGGAAAGGCTGGGCTGGGGACACTGTCTCCCCAGCAAGAACTAGTGGTCTTCTGCATTCTGCACCTAGTGATGCTCACCACATCTTTGGGGAGCACTTCTCTAGAAGACATGCATTGGGCAGGTTCATTCCCCCCACACCCCATCTGTGGCTAGTCCTAGAGACCTGTCTCCTGCAGCTGCATTGTCAGCCCTGCTGCCCACTGCACAGGGTCCCTGCTTCCAGCCCTCCTGCCCACCAGCCCCCAGAAGCAGCTGCTGCCCACCTGCCAGGAGCTGCTCTGATCACCATTATGTTTGTCACAGGCAGCAGAAGGCCTACATTGCCACGCAGGGACCACTGGCCGAGACCACAGAGGATTTCTGGCGGATGCTCTGGGAGCACAACTCCACCATCGTGGTGATGTTGACAAAGCTGCGCGAAATGGGCCGGGTACGAATCCTGCTCAGGGGGGAAGGGGGCTGTGTGTCTGGTGTCTGTGGGCACAACCTCTCCACTCACCCCAGTCTGTCCCCAGCACCAGCTGCTCTGACCCAGCCTCCTGCTGGCGTGTCCCATGGCTGACCCTGTTACCCTAGAACCACTTATGCTCCCAGGGAGTGGGAGAGAAGAGCAGCAGTGTGTTGGTGCTGATATCTCACTGTGCTTCTCATCCACAGGAGAAGTGCCATCAGTACTGGCCTGCAGAGCGCTCTGCCCGGTACCAGTACTTTGTGGTGGACCCCATGGCAGAGTATAACATGCCACAGTACATCCTCCGGGAGTTCAAGGTGACGGATGCCAGGGTGAGTACAGCTGCTGGCTCCCCAGCTCCCCTGCCTGCTGTGCCTCTGCCCCACCTCTGCCCTGCCCAGGCCAGCAAAGGGAGCATGCAGCATCTTTCTTCCTCCTGGAGGAACCTGTAAGCAAGGTGCTGCCTTCCATTACAGGCGGAAGGGGCTGCTGCCCCTCACCTGTTGCTTTCACTGACCCAACAGACCTTGCAGGGATCCAAAGCCCTACTCAGCTCAGTCATGCTGGGGTGGCTATGTGAGAGCAGAGGCAGGCCCCAAATGCTCAGTGAAAGATCATCCATGGTCTGTGCACCCTTTCAACTGGCGTGGGCCAGGGGGTCTGAGAGCAGGTCAGCAGCACCAGTGCTGGGGGGAGCAGGATCCCTCTTGCTGTCTCCTCATGCACAGTTCTAACACTTCTGTCACTGCAGGACGGCCAGTCACGGACCATCCGCCAGTTCCAATTCACAGACTGGCCTGAGCAGGGAGTGCCAAAGACAGGAGAGGGCTTCATCGACTTCATTGGCCAAGTGCACAAGACCAAGGAGCAGTTTGGGCAGGATGGGCCCATCACAGTGCACTGCAGGTGAGGGAGGAGAGATCAGCATCCATTGCCTTCATTATCCCTTGGGGATGACCTCTACTCCTACCTTCTCCCCTGAACTTGGTGCCCCTCCTGCACACCATTGGCAAAAGGCAGGCAGGGGATGATGAGGCAATATCCATGGGTGCCATTGGAAGCCTTTCTGCCAGATGACTAGATTAACCCAGTGCCCTGGTGGTACTGGTTTGTCACTCCTTGGAAGAGTCCTTTGGCAGGGTAGGGTGCCAACAGCAGCTTGGCCCACAGGCAAGGCAGAATCAGTGGGCCCCATGGGGCTGGGGAGGCACCTCTGCGTGGCAATATCTCTGTGGCCTCTCCTGGCTCCACTGAGCATGTTCCCATGCTCCAGGAGCTTTCAGTGCTCCCAGAAGCTCTGCAGAGCCTCACTGGGGCTGGTGGGTCTCTAACAGCACCTCTTACTCCCTCCATGCAGTGCTGGGGTCGGGCGCACGGGCGTCTTTATCACACTCAGCATCGTGCTGGAGCGGATGCGCTACGAGGGGGTGGTGGACATGTTCCAGACAGTGAAGACCTTGCGGACGCAACGGCCAGCCATGGTGCAGACAGAGGTGAGTGTCCCTTCCTCCCCGGGGTGGCAAAAGATCTGTGCAAGAAGGTACGGGGGAGTCAGCATCCCTGGTTGGGCAGCCTCACTGCCCAGTGTCCTCAGCTCCTCACTTCTCATGCTGTGCCCCTTGCTGCCTTGCAGGACCAGTACCAGCTGTGCTACAGGGCGGCACTGGAGTATCTTGGCAGCTTCGACCACTATGCAACGTAACTAGTGCTTTCCTCCAGTCGCGGTGGGGATGTCTAGGAGTGGAGACGGGTTCCTCTGAGACAGAGTCGCCCATTCCTCAGTCCTTCTGTACAGATGGAGATGCTGCCCAGGCAGCAAACCTCCACACCAACCAGTTCTGACCACGGCATTTAGGAACTTCACCCCAGCGCCAAACGAGGGAATCCGACTCCAAAAGCATTTCCAGTCTCTGGCTGAATTTCTGCTCATGTGCATCTCTCGCCCTCTCTCACGCGACTGCATTTCACAGCGAGGCTTTAGGTGGGTGGAATGGGATCTTTTTTTTAAACATGTAAAATAGTTACTAGTGGGTTTTATAATCTCCTCTCTCCTTGTTTTTTATTTTTTTGCAAGTCTTAATGTTTTGCCCAGGCAGAACTGGACCCGCCAAACCTTTGGGAGTTGGGTTGTTTTTTTAAATTTCCTTTTGCTTTTACATTTTTTACTGCCCTGTGTTTATTTCAGCCCAGTCACTGCTGGTTCTGCCCATTTTAGTGCAGCTTCCTTGGTAATTTGCAGCAGCTGGCTTGCAGTTCCTGCCCAGCTCCATTCCCCATAGGCTGCTTTTTAATCCTCTGTAGAATATGAAATTTCATGGAACTGGACCTAAGCTACCAATTATTTTTTTAGCTTTCCCCCCCCCTCCATTATTTCCTGAGTAGGTTTGGGTTTGGGAGGGCATGTGGGGTCACCAGAGAAGCGGTCCCCTTTGTCAGCTGGAAACTGTTCAGTCCCATCACAATGCGTGTTCAACCACTCCAGTGACCGTGTGTATTGGCAGATCCCGGTATGATGTGAGTTGTCGTCGCCTTGTTTGTGAGAGACCCGAAATCCCAGGCTCAGGGCTCTGGAGTCTCTTTTTGTGTGTCTCACTGGGAAGGGAGCAGGAGAAGTGAGTGGGTCCCACACTTCCCCGGGGAGGGGATGGGAAGAGCGAGACGTGGCCTTTTTTGTTAATCCCGTGGTTCTGTCGTGCAAGCGCCATTTTGTCACCTCTCACCAGTGAAGTGCATCGGAGCATTGACAAAGGCAAGGAGCACAAGCCCAGCCATCCCCAGAGCAGAGCTGGGCAGGCTCTCTTTGGAAAGCAGGGTACTTGCAGGGAAGGGGAGGGCAGTACACATGGCTTCAGAGGTTGGGTGTATCTATAATTTCTGCTATCCTGCAAATGCTAAAAGTCACTAGAATATTGTACTTTCCGCTACTTCAGGACGTTCTAATGAACCAATGTGGCAAGACTACTGGACTTAATTTAATGGTACTATATATTAATACTCCTTATTATATCACGCACTAAAGACAGGGATTGAGCAGCCCTCTTTTGAGTGCATTGAGTTATGAATAAAGGTGGTGGAAGGGTATCTAATTGTATTATCACATGTATTCCGAATGTTAAGAATCCAGGCTACGTTGAAATCAGCAATCAGGGTTGGTAATGTTGGAGGACACATTCATTTTTACCTTGTGGATGCATAGTGCTGTAGGGGTCACTGTTGTATACAGTCTGTTTTCTATTTGTTAATAAAAAAAAAAAAAATCTACAGCATCATTGCATAATTCTTGATGTTAATAAATTTGAATAATCGGGTTTCATACAAGCTGGCTTTGCTGTCTGTTTCTTCAGCACTAAGCAGAGGCCATAGAGTCCCTTGGAGATGGACACACTTCCCAGAGAAGGCCTTTCCAATGAGTACACCCATGCCATGAGTGCCTCACGCTTCCTGCAGGGACCCTGTGCCAGCAGGGAGCTTGGAGACCCTCTGACAACCCCCATTGTGTGTGTCTGTGCTCACCTGCAGCCATACCAGGATGTACCATGAGTCCTCAGTCCTTGGCACCTCCAGGAATGGTTCCTGCCAAGCCTGCTGCCCCCTGCACTGGGTCCCCTCCACTTCCCAAAGCATAGATCATTCCCAGCAGGAGGAAGCCAGTAGCCACTTTCTGCCCAGACCATGCTCTGCAGAAGCTATCCCAGTGGTGGCTGGGACCTGAGACTTGTCCTCCCTACCTCAGAGGACCCCAAGCTGTAGCAGGATACAGCCCTGGGGTGATGCTGAGCTTTGCTTGTGGGTTTGCAGCAAAGAGAGAGGTCAGTGGTGGTGGATTTGGTGGCAGTATCAGTCCTGGATGAGGCTGAGGTGTTTCCAGCTTCCTGGGATGCTGCAGTGATGCTGTTCTGTGGCACTCAGCACTCACTGATCTTGCTGGAGCTCAGCTACACGTGGCGTTTCCTGCCAGGCCAGACTGGCACCCAAGCAGGTGCCAGATGCAAAATGGTGTTTCCCGTCACCCAGCTGGTTCCTCCCCTCGTGCTTTGCCCCCAGGTGATCTGAGGCCAGTGGAGCCTTTCCCTGGCTCTGCCATTGGGCAGCCCAACTCAAGGATGCAAATCCAAGGGTGAGTCAAGCTCCTGTGCAAGGCATATGCACGCATGCATGTGCCAGCACCACTGGCATCAGGATGCTTTGCATCGCTGCCAAGGCCCAGGGTGATGAAGCTACACAGCCGAGTGTGCACCTGCTGCTGGGGGGCTGTGCAGGAGGAAGGATGCTGTGTTTACCTTGAGCTTTAGGGAGCTGGCTGGCTGGGAAGTAGGCAGTGAGAACCTGTCTGCTCTGCAGCAGGGATG